ATATAACTGGTTCCAGCAAAAAGATAAAAATAAAACATGTTGAATGTATTCTTACCTGGTTGGAGTTTGGCTTCAAAATTCTGGACATCTTTGACAATCTGTTATTGCCGTTTTTATGAATGGATGGCTCTCTCTCTCTCTCTCTCTCTCTCTCTCTCTGCGTTTTTATGAATGGAGGACCACCATGGCTAGGGCCTACTTTTAGGCTAGATCTTGGTCCTGTTAACGGGACCGGACCAGGACTGTCTAGTAAATATATTTTTTTTTATAATGGGAAGAATAAATTGTTAGGACTAGACCGAGACGTGACTCGTGGCCTAGGCTGAGCCTAACATGGAGGCTAGACCATGATTTGGAGCTAGTGTAGAAAAATTCCAACTAGAACGGTTAACTCGTCATGGGGCCAGAAGCGGTTCAACCGGCCTAACCGGTAAACCTGCCGGTTCAACTGACCTAATAGGCAAGTCCCCAGCGATCAAAAAAGTGTTAAAAAATTACAAAAAATATCTAATAAAATATGAAAAATATATTTAAAGCATAATTAAACAAAGCACATCCAAATGAAGTTGAAAATTAATGAAAAAAATAGATTTTGAAGATTCGATTTGTGCCAATAGGTAATTTTGAAATTTTTCAAAAGAGATGGAAAAATATAAAAATAAGTATTAATGGCCAAAACAATTTCCAAACTTTGCCAAAATGATGAAAAACATTAAAAAACGAATTACAAACAAAATCCCTTATTTTTGGGGATTTTATATAATTTTGTTGAATTTTTCAAAATACCAGGCCAGTTCACCAAAACCGGCAAAAACCGGAACGGACGAGTGCCAAGCTCCGATCTAACCAAGTCTAACCGGGTAGTTAGATTTGGAACCGCCAAATTTTTCCACACTGTTTGGGGCAGTGTTCGTAAAATTGAACCGGAAGGGTTAACTGGACATGAGTTTAGAAGCAGTTCAACCGGCCTAACTAGTACATCGGCCAATTCAACCACGTCCTAGGTGGTCAAAAGAGTGTTGAAAAAAAAAACAAAAAAAATCTATTAAAGTATGAAAAGCATATAAAGAATTATTAAAATAAAACATATTCAAATGAAGTTGAAAATTAATGAAAAAAATGGATTTTAACCCATTTTATATTTTTCAAACGCTTTTTTTAAAATTTTTTAAAAAACATGGGAAAATATAAAAGTGAGTATTAATGACCAAAAAAATTTTAATCTTTACTGTACTGTAAAGAATATTTAAAAATGCATTAAAAATCAAATTCTTTATTTTGAAAAATTTATATATATTTTATTTATTTATTTTTTTAAATACCGGTTGATCACCCTAACTGCCTAAAATCGGAACCAGCCACTAGCCGGTTCCAATCTAACCGGGTGATTAGTGGTTAAATCAGCCGATTTTACTAACAAAGGTTTGGAGCACATGCCCATCACTTTGGGCAAATCTAGTGCCCAACCCATTACCACCCCTAGGAAAGTGTATATCTATCTATCTTGTACCGACCTAAAAATGCTACAATTTTTTTTACAATAAAAAAAAATACACGGAAACACATTATCATGCTCCCACATGAGCACCGTACATTTTCTCCCTAGAGCAGAAAAGCTAGTCAGGAGGGATTTCTATATGAAATTTCATGATCTACTTTAGAATCACCATATGATATTTTTTTAATAAAATATGATTTTACCTTCCTACGTATTTTAGACTTGAACCATCCAAAACTTGGACGATTTCTGCTCAATCTTATTTTAGGCACATATAAAATGTTTTTGAATTTGTTTTTATATTTTTAGGGTTGTCGTTAAGTTGAGGAGATTATAATTTTTTTAAGGAAAAATATCTCTATACCCCTCTTTTTTAAGTTTTATTTCACAATAGACTCAAGGTTTTAAAATATATCTTGAAACATAAAAATTGTTGTAGATTTTATTTCTTCTAACCTCCTGAGCTAATTTAAACATATTTTTTTAGGCCAAACAAATCTAAAAAGACACACATTTTCTAAAAGCCATCCTACCAAACTTCTAGACGAAGAGAAAGGCTTCATAGAGGTGAGAGATTATCGGGAGGAGAGAGAGATTTGGAGAAACACCGGAGGAGAGAGAAAGTGAAAGACGTAGAAAACGAGAGAACGAGAGAAGTTTGGGTAATTAAGTGAAGACAGATAAATGATCGGGTTTAGAAAGAGCATGTCTTTTTCACATTTGTTTAGTTTAAAAAATAGGTTTAAAGTGGCAAGAGGGTTAGAAGATATGTTTTGAAACCTTAAGTTTATCAAGAAATGGAACTTAAAAATAAAGGATATTGATATTTTCCCTTTGTTTTAACCTTAAAATGACTCTGAGATATAGATTTTTATAAGATCATAAATGAAAGATATACTCCCAATAGAATATGTAATTTTTTGACCATACATGATTGTATATATGCAGAAATATCACAATCACCCCCAATAGAAAGGAACTCACTTTTTTTGGGTAGTTCAGTAGGGATGGGGTTTCCAACTCACAATTATAAAATAATTCAAAATATCATGTTGCGGCTCTCCGCTGCCTTAACCACCTAGCCTTGAACCCATTTCTAAAAGAATAACTTTAAATGTGTAGAGATAATTGTGATTCATAAGTTCTAAGGTAAAAAATAAATAATGGAAAAGGTTAAAATAAGACAAAGGCTTTATGGAAAAAAAAGTGAAACACAATCTCAAAACTCACAAAAAAGTATAGTTCCAGTGTCGAAAAACCTTCTAATCGATCATCTAAACTTTGATCATTATAATTGTAAAAAATGATTTAGGATTTCAAGCCCTAAAAATAATATATATTGTAACATATTATGTAGACCGTCCATTTTCAATTATTGATGACACCACAAGATCTATACCATTTTTTAGCTTCAAATTTCATAAGATGGAAATACATTTTAGAGTCATTTTATGGATTTTCCATACCTCAAAGTATTTTCTAGACAAGGATTCAAGATGAAGATTTACTTTTTGTTTATAAGGCCTAGGCCTCATTGAAATTACATCCATTATCATGAGGAAAAGTGTTACATGAGAAGCCTGCTAACTCACGAATGTCCATCATAAAATTGGACATTGGACGTTAGTGGTTGGTTCCAGCGTCAAAAAAAAACCTTCTTATTCATGATCACCTTGGCTGAATCCATTAAAAAAATGGTTAAAAAATTCATATATAAAATGGAAAAGTTTATATAAAGCGAAGGCTCTAAACAATTAAATTTAAGCCTACTTCAAGGATTAAATTCGAGCCTACCTCAAGAATTTTACTAGAAGAAGTTGTTTTGATGCCCAAATATCATCAAATTAATCATCTCGACATCAAGATATATGGACATGAGGAAAAAGAATGGATTTCAAGTTTTGAAAATAGTGTATTTTGTAATGCATTTTTTTACCATTAATTTTCAATATTTTCAAGTTTTCATAGATCTGTCTATCTACACTATTTTTAAAGCTTTAAACTTTATAAACAAAGATGAAAATGTATTTTAAAGCTATCACAAAGACTTTCAATATTCAAACCATATATCTCGACACTATTTGAACGTAGGCTATAATTTGATTGTTTAGAGCCTGGGCTCTATGCAAACTACACCCTATATAAAATGGATTTTAGAGGGGGCTGGACACGTTTTTATGAGTCTTCCACTCTTAAAAATCTATTTTTGAGATGGATTTTTTTATCCAATTTTTAAGGACATGTAATTTCTAACATTGAGATCATGAATATGAAAAAAATAAAATAAATTTTAAAAAATAAAAATAATGGTTTTATGAAAAAAACATTTGAACCATTATTTGAATTGTCTTTAAATGGACTACCTATCTGCATATCCAATTTTCATCTACATACCACTCATAACTCGAAAGAACTATATTCCTTCACACATGAAAACGAAATGGTTAGAAATAAACCAGAAATAAAAAAAAAAATACACCCATCTCATCAATATCTTTTTCACCGGTTATAGAGGCATAGGGAAACCTCAAAATCACAACAAACCCAGATTTAGTTAACCGAAAGGATATATTTGTCAGGAACATAATCACAAAAAATTATGGCTTCCAAGAAGGTTAGGTCGGATTCTCTCAACTCTCTCTCTCTCTCTCTCTCTCTCTCTCTCATACACACATTGTATTCTCTCTCATCACACACATTATTCTCTCTCCTCTCACTTCTCTATCTCAACAAATTATGGCTTCCAAGAAGGCGAGATCGGATTTTCTCAACTCTCTCTCTTATACACACATTGTATTCTCTCTCATAACACATGTTGTTCTCTCTCCTCTCTCTTCTCTATCTCAACCAGTGATTTAAAAAACAGATCGTTGATTAGGATTAACAGATCGTTGATTAGGATTGGACATCACAAACGGTTCAAAAAAAAAAACATGTGCAAAAACATCCACATCAATTAATCTGTGTTTTTACTATAGAAAAATGACGATTTTACTGTAGTAAATGATATTTTTACAGTAACAAATCGTCAGTTCTCTTCTACACCCGAAATATTTCTTATATATATATATATATAAAATCAATATGGGAGAACCGATTCCCAAATTCGACCGGGCATTACATAAACAAGCCGAAGAAAGAAGCAACTTCCTGCATTAATGGGAGAACAGGCAAAAGCCTACATACATGCGTGAACCCAATTTCCTTAACATCGTCAGAAAATAAAACCAAATTAAATTAGAGAAAAAAAAAAAGCAAAAGAGAAATGAACAGCCCCACAAGGACCTATCAGATATTAGAATCCTGTCAAAAGGGTATAAACGTCATAAGCCACCTTCCAAAGAAAGGGGCTCACCCGCTTCTTTATTCCTCTCACCAAACTATACAAAAATCTCCACATTTTATTTCCCCACTGCTTACATTTTTTTTTATTTAAAATCACCGCCTCCCCGGAAAGTCCTAAAATCTCATCAAGGTACCTGTCATTTCCCGGCCGTTCATCTCAGCAAGCGTAGAGATCGACGAGCTCGTCCAAACTTTCAGGCGAGTGGTCGGAATTTTCCAGAATCCAGAGGAGGTGCTCGAAGAGCACCAATTCGCAACCAACTACGGGAACACCACCGTCAACCTCCGGCTCGCCTACTAGTTCCCGGACAACAGGGTGGTTCAACACCTCATGGCTTACGAGCAGGCGCCTCCTCGACTTTCCGACGTAGACTTCACGGTAATTTCCGGCCATGCCCTCGCCAGAGTCAGAGACCATCATATTGCGGGGCATAGATGAAATACTGCTCCCAGAGCGGGACATTCTTCCAAGGCTCTGCCACCTCTTTAGCATTCCCTTGATCTTCCCAAACTTTCCGCCTTTCATCTTGTTTGAGCGTTCTCCAGTGAAAACAAGCGGTTTCACGTCGAACAACTTGCAGTTTTCCCCCAAAATGAGTGGTTTTCAGGCTAAAGTTTATGTTGTCCTTTTGGGGAATGTGGGTTAAGGAAGCGTTCTTTGCTGGTGGTTTTGGGCGAAATGACGGTTTCAAAGAGTTTTTCCCTTCTTTTGGGGGGAAGGTCGTTTTGAGAGAGATAATGGGTGGTTTTTTTTGGAGGAGAAATGATCGTTCCGAAGAAGGTGGCGGTTTTGTGGTGGGTGATAATCTGTGGGTAAGAGAGAGAAGGGTTTCTATAAGAGGAAAACTGCTATCCTTGTCTCGGTACAAAGGAGAGAGAGCAATGGAGGCCACATGAAACCGAGAAAGAGAGAGAGAAAAAACAGCGACTGAAAATGGCTTCTGATAAACTCGGAATGAGAGAGAATCAACAGATGAGAAATGGTCTGTGATGAACTTAGAGAGAGAAAGTAAGAGAGAGAGAGAGGGGTTGGAGAGGGAGAGGAGTAAGATGGGGCATAGGAAATGGGAGGTTTATATAAGACTAATGGGTAGAGAGAGAATGGAGCTTAGGAGACGACAATGGCGCTAATTTTTCATTGTTTTAGAGAGAGAAAGAGAAGAGAGATTCTAATCCACCGCAATTCAAAACTCAAAAACAAATGAGCTGTAAACCGGTAATGCCTTTTTGGATTTGCTGAGCACCGCAAGATAATCCAAACAGTAATATTCTCGTAACAAACGGAATAGAAGGCTCATTTAGCAACTTTCAAACATTAGTTCTCATTTTTTGAATGGAAAAATGTAGCAGTTACTAATATTCCTTTCAATGTCCTGTACAATACAACAAATAAATTATTGAGGGATTTATGTATGGATCTTAATTTTATTTAAAATACGAAATACTTCTTGGGAAAATATTATTTACTTTTGAAATATTATTTACTTTTGACACAAGGTGGTCAAAATAATTTTTTTTATTGGGTGGCTGCAATTATTCCATTGACCAAGCTCAAATTTTAAATGAAATTTTCTCTAACTTTGCGAAACATCCAAGCTATCAAATTTCCTATCAAATTGTTGTAAGGAATTGTGACCATCTTGTAAAGGTAAATGGTTTCATTGTATACGATCTCATACTTAATTTATAGGGAAATTATCATAAATATAAAGTTCGATATCCAAACTATCAAATTTCCCATCAAATTGTTGTAAGGAATTGGGATCATCTTGTAAAGGTAAATGTTCTTTGTATACAATCCCATATAGGGCAATTATCACAAATATATTTTAATTTTCGTTCTCAAATTTCGTAAGCCTCGTCCACATTCAATTTTTAGCGTTTTTTTTTTAGCATTTTTATCTTCAACTTTCATAAACCTCGTCCACATTCAATTTTCAGCGTTTTTTTTACCAAAATAATCGTTACTATTTAATTGCCGTAAAAATTAAACCATGTTATACGGCATTTTAAATACTGTAAATCCAGCCACATTATATGGCATACCAAAATCTACCCACATTATATGGCATACAGTAAAAACCCATTCATGTTATACGACCCTCGAAATGCCGTAAACATTTTTCTACTTTATATTTATCTCTATCATGGCTCTAATTTCTTTTTTATGTTTATCTATTCTTTCTCTTTAATTTTTTTTAATATTTATATATTTCATCTCTCCAATTCTTTTTATCAATTTATATTTATCTCTTTCATGTCTCTAATTCTTTTTATGTTTATCTCTTTTTTCTCTCTAATTCTTTTTAATATTCATCTATTTCATCTTTCTAATTCTTTTTATGTTTCTCTTCTTTTTCTCTTGTTCTTTTTAATATTTATCTCTTTCATCTCTCATATTCTTTTATGTTTATCTCTTCTTTCTCTCTCTAATTCTTTGTAACATTTATCTTTTCTTTCTATCTAATTTTGTTTCTCTTCTTTCTCTCTCTATATCTTTTCTCTCTCTAACTCTCTTTCTCTCTATATATATTTTCTCTCTCTAACTCTCTTTGTCTCTACTTACTTTATCAACTCAACAATCACTACTTACTTTATCAACTCAACAATCACGATTCAAAAGTGATATAAATCTCGCTCCGTCTAATTTTCATAGGAGATGGGGTTGAAGGAAGTTTTTATCTTCTAATTTTTCATAGGAGTTGGCGTTGAAGTGAGTTTTTATCTTCTAATTTTCATCAAAGATGAGGTTTAAGGGAGTTTATGTAAGGGAGGGTAAAGTACACATAGGTTGTTATACAAATCTCCTTGAAGAGAGAAAGAGAGTTAGAGAGAAAAAAGAGATAAAAAAAGAATCAGAAAGAGAAAATAGAAATAAATATTAAAAATAATTAGAGAGAGAAAGAAGAGATAAAGATAAAATGAATTTGAGAGATTAAAGAGACAAATATAAACAAAAGGAAAATGGTTTACGGCATTTCGAGCATCGTATAACATGGTTAGTTTTTACGTTACGTAAAATACTGTATAATATGAGTGGGTTTACAGTACTTAAAATATTGTATAACATGGCTTTGGGTTTACGGTACTTAAAATGACATACAACATAGGTTAGTTTTTTATAGCAATTAAAGTATTGTATTGCATGAAGGTTAGTTTAGTAAAAAAAACACCAAAAATTGAAAAAAAAGATGTGGGGATGTTTATGAAAGTTGAGGGGTTTCGTCTAAATAGACTAAAATTAACATATATTTGTAATAATTTCCTTAATTTATAGATATAAATTACATAAAAGGTCGGTCAATCCTTCTTCTTTTTTTCCAAAATTGCCCCTTGAAGATAGAATCATCTGTCCGAGTTTTATTTGTTATTTTTATTTTATTTTTCTTTAATAGGGCAGTGCCTTACTAACAAAAAATTTAAAAATAAAATAAAATTCGGCTAGAGGATGTCCTCCGATGGACGGATAATATTGAAATATAAAAAAACGTGGGTTGAACAACTTTTTTTGTAATTTCCATCTATAAATGGAGCATTTCGTATTTTAGAGAAAAAAAATTGCGAAACTTTGATTATGAACCCACTTTAAAGTATAACATATGAAATATTTCGCCCCAAATTTGGATTATGAACTTAAATTTCGCATTAAAATGGAATTATTTTAGAAAATTTACAAATATTCCTTTCGACGACAAATATACAATTTAAACAATTAAACACTGGTACCCAAATTTGGATTATGGACCAAAAGTTAGTGCCTTAATAGAAACCAGATCGCATGTATCCTCATTTTCATTGGACACCACTAAATTTTGCGGAAACGTGCTACGTTTGGCATCTTTTTGGGCTAGATTTGAAGGTTGGGAGATTTAGCTCAATGATATCCAAAATCTTGGTTGAATATTACTAAATGTTATTCAAATTTATGCAATAGTATGTACTAGGAATAGTTTTGGGTTTTTTTGTAGTTAGTTGAATTTTGGCGAAATCTCAACCGACCAGCTTGGGCCCGAATATTTTAAGCTCGGCGAAGGATAGGGCAAAAACACTCTCTTGTTGAGCTAAAATTGGGATTTCTGGCTCATGGCCTTTATTACACATTTTTGGGATGGGCTCCTACCCAAGTTGGCCCGGCCAAAGCCCAACCCATTGGCTACCTTAGGCATGCGTGAAGAACAATAAGATTGTATTAATATTTGGAGACCCCCAATTTATATACCATCAAAAGTGTTTCGAAGCTGAATATTCATGTTTATATAATTAGTTACTCATATATGATACTAAAGTGGATCCAAATATTCATGTTTATATAATTAATTACTCATATATGATACTAAAGTGGATCCAAACATAGCATAAGTAAAAGGAAATGCATATCAGGAAGCAGGATTGTAAAAATATCTCATCAATACAACTGTTTATTACAAGATCTAAAGCACCAGAATCGTCTCTTTTCTAAGATGAAAAAGTTCCATCACTTTTTAACCGTAGGAAAAACTTGGCACACGAGCCATGAGCCCAATTGTATAAATGCATAGCCTAAGGGCACTTCTTGCACTGATGCTAGCGTGCAACCAATACACAATTGGATAACCAACAGTCACCAGTTTCACAAGATCTTTGTGTTCCAAAAAGTTGCTCCATTGGTGGGCCTTGTTTTGAGAAGTAAAAGGAATATTAGCCTCAAACCCAACCCACACACATTCTTGGGCGAAGGACACCTCTTGCACAAATTTTGTAGAGCTTCTCTTCCCACCAGTTTGTAGAGCTTCTCTTCTTGCTGAACATAATTATGAGATCTGACATCCCGCTCAGATATCTAAAAATCCACTAATAGCATTCAAATGCTCCCTTCTAGGATTACTCATGTATCAACTAACAACACTGACAGCATGAGATAAATCCGGCCTGCTACAAACCATAGCATACATGAGGCTTCCGACTGCGCTAGCATAAGACACCAAAGACATCTACTCTTTTTTCTCATCCGTAGTGGGACACTGTCGTTCAGATAACTTGAAAAGACTCGCCAATGGAGTGCTAACTGACTTGGTCTTTTCTATGTTGAAATGCTCCAACACCTTTTCAATATACCTTTTCTGAGTTACCCCGCGTTTATTTATACTTCCATCTCTATGAATATCCATACCAAGGATCCTATTAGCAGCCCCCAAATCCTTCATATTAAACTCAAAACTTAACATAGACTTGAGAGAGGTTATGTCAAATGCATTATTGACAGCGATGAGCATGTCATCAACATAAAGCATCAAGAGAATAAGGGAATTATCATCAAAAACTTTAAAATAAACACAACAATCATACTCACTTCTTGAATAGTCAATTCACACCTTGAAAGAGTCAAAGCGTTTGTACCACTGCCTGGGAGATTGCTTAAGACCATAAAGTGATCTCTTGAGCAAGCAAACTGGATCTTCCTTTTCATGCACCTTGAAGCATTCAGGTTGCTTCATAAAGATTTGTTCCTCCAGATCACCATAAAAAAATATATGTCTTCACATCAAG